TGAAATTACATTCATGCAAGGATTATTTATTAATATTATCAATATAAAGTGTGTTCAATAAAGTACTGTAAGTTTAACCAGGATTCAGTATTCTTATTTGCGTGCCCGGATTATAAGTGGAAGAATGAAGAAGTCTTAGTCGGCATCCTGAAATATCAACATAACATAAGTAACCATACTACTGACATAACCCACAGCATAAGAAATAAGCTCCCACGCCATGTCAGAGTAGGTGTGTTACACCCGGTATGCGGTGCAATGCCTGTCAAGGTCATGAAATCAGACGTAGTGTATGTGTTTTGATTTTGTGACAAATGGGGTTAGTGAGCGAGTGTAAAAAATTTTGATGTCATGGGCTTGTGCATGGAATTGTTGTTATAAAAGGGAGACAACTAATTTGAAGCCGGTGAGTCAACTAAGACTTTTGAAAAGCAGAGTGAGATATAACTTGAATGTGAGAGGTCATGTTGGATTCTCTTAAATGGATGTACTTAAGAGATATATGATAAAATGTTGAAAGCCTGTGTAGATCTATTATCTGCATTGCAACTTAAATTGTTATAAAATTATCCTGATGTCAAGGAATCATATGAATTAAGTAGCCCATATAATAAATAAAGTATTTTGTAGTGTACATTGGACTTAGTTGCTTTCTTATCAGAGAGAGAGACAGTTGTGAGGTGAGATGTAATAGACCAGGCGCAATAATTGACATGCATCAAAAAGCCTTATTTATTTATTTATTTATTTATTAAGGCATTTTTATATAGCGCTTATCATAAAGCTCTAAGCGCTTTACAATTATTAAAACATGTAAACTAAATTATACATCAAACTATCTGACATGGGACCATATTTTTGGCAATGCTACTTTAAGAAAGACCATTTTTTTTCCCGTCTGCGGAGTACACGAATAAAATACAATGTTTTTTAGGCATGGGCAGGCCACATACATCTGTCAACGTGAGAAGCATGAATTTTCAGATTTTTATTCACACTTCCTTTGTTAGAGTGGCATTCCAACGCAAGCTGGGTACTCGTTAGTTATAAGATAAAAATGAATGAATGGCCTTAGGCCCCAAAGAATATTTAAATTGGTTGCATTCATTCATAAAGCTACATTTTATGTCACAAACAAACCGAAACGCCGCTGTTGTACGAGGTCTCTTTAAAATTATATTTATATGGCTCATTTGAAGGGATAAAAACAGAATTTAGGGCCCCGCCGGAAAAACGGAATATTGTAAAACGGTTGAACTAATGCAGACAACAATTAATTATGTCATACACAAAATCCACCCATGCATTAGCTCTAATTAAAATTATATGTGTATATCTCATATTAGAAAGAACGAACTTAGGGCCCCGGCCCTAAAAGGAATATTGCAAAATGATTATACACATTCAGAAACTTTTGATGGCGTGCACACAACAATTCACCAAAGTTTCATCGCAATCGGATGAATGGTGTAGGAGCACATACTGGACATACATAGAAACAGACATGAATCTTTGCCTATAAAGATGATCAAAATGAATATAGCATTCATAATATCATTGAAACAGATTTCTATTTTTTTTTACCAATAAAAATATTTTATAGACTCTCATTATAAAATTTTTTATTTTCCAAATAAAATGAAATTATGAAAAATATTGTTATTATAAGCCATACAACTATAAATAGATAAAACAAAATGTGCTGATGATTGGATTTAACTGGCGTGTAGATTTATTTCATCCCCCCCCCTTTTTATGCCTTTGAAAGTGTACAAAAAAAAATTATTAAAATATCATTTTACAAAAATATAAAATTCACTTTAGCGCCTATTTTTGCTATGGTTATCCTAGCCTCTGAGTATGTAACCTAGACGATTAACAGCTTAAAAAGCATTGCAAATATATATACTATTTCTTTTGACAGTGAATTTTATTACGTTTAAGATCCATTGCATCTTTCTGATATTGTAAATTTTAGAGGATTTGATTTATAGCTGTGAAGATTATGTATGTGTGAATGAGTGGGTATAGTACAGTTTGAAGAGATGTGTCTTGAGGGCAGTTTTTAATGCTTTGATGTTCGTTATATTGTGGATTTGTAATGGGAGATAATTCCAATGTTATTGGGCGCAGAAAGAGAAAGATAAAGATCGTTCACCATTTGTTTTAGTGCGTGTTCTGGGAAGAGAAAGAATACGTATGCCTGCGAAGTAACGAAGCTCTTGAAAGGGTGAATGGACAGAAAGCAGTTCAGAAAGATAGGAATGGTAGTAACCAGAGAAAGAGTTGTGACAGAGAAAAGGCGGCTTGTATTCAATGAGTGCCTGTAAAGGGAGCCAAAAAAGAGAGTGAAGAAATGGAGTCACGTGGTCACCTTTCTTTGCATTTAGAACTAACCTTGCAGCTGCGTTTTGGACTTGCTGCAGTTTTCTATGAAATGTAGTCAAGACGAGAGAGTACAAGAGAACAGACTAGTGTTTTTGTTGCAATAACTTTGAAATAGTTGAAGATGGAGCTTAAATGACGAATGTAAGTGTACGCAGAGCGACAGATATGAGAAAGATGATTAGTGAGAGACATGTTGTCATAAAGAATGTCACCAAGAGAATGTGAGCTCTATATCGGAGCTCACTACTTGAAACGAGGTGGAAAGAGTTAAGTTAGAGGATGATTCATGATTGTAAATGAGGAGTGCTTCTGTTTTGTCATCGTGGAGCTTCAACTTTCTGAGACTCATCCTTGAATTGACATAAGCAATGCACTCCTGGAATGTGTGGATAGCAGAATTAACAAGAAATGGATTTGTATGCTTGTATAGCTCAATGTCATCTACGAATGACTGGCTCTCAACAGCCGACCATCCAAGCAAGTGGATAAGTGGCCTGGTATACATTGTAAAGAGGACGGGCCCCGAAACGGACCCCTTTGGCACTCCGTACATCAAATGAGCTCTACCGGAAAGATATCCATCACCAAAGGGCGCCTTCGCTCTATCGGAGATGTATAACCGAGACCAAGCCACAACTGATACAAGAAAGCAAAAACAATAACTCTCAAGGATTTTGAAAAGGGTTTGATGGTCAAATGTATCAAAGGTTGCACTTATATTTTGACTTTTACTTGGTATGCTTGTAATTAGTCTTTGCAGTGTTGCGTTTGTTTTAAATGTGGTAAATTATAGATTTGTTTTTTGTTGACTTTGTACCGCGCTTCGAGCCTTTGGTGATGAAGCGTGTTTTTGAAATAAACTTTATTATTATTATTTAAAGGATCAGAATGGAGACATTACCAATTCCACGTCCAAGCAAGAGGTTCCTGATGTCTCTGTGCTGTGAAAAGAAAACTCTATAGGCCGACTGCTTAGCACTGAGAAAAGAGATTCAAAGTAAGCAAAAAGCTGATTTAGAACTAGCTTTACAATACAGCGTTTTGAAATAAAAATCATACAAGTCTTGGAAATAACTCGTAAATCGATTGTGCTCAAATATTCTTCTTTTTTTAAAAAAAATACTTTGACGAAAAAGAAATAATTGTTAATCATATTTTATTTTATTTATTTTCCTTTTTTTTTTTGGCAAATAATTTGAAATAGTTGGATCCACAGTCTAGGTAGGCAATAATTAACATATTAATGATAATAACAATTGTGATTTGAATTAAAACAATTTAACAGCATATACGATAATATAACAGCTGAACTTGAAGCTGTAGAGAAAAGTATCATGTTTTAATATTAATTTCGTTCAGTCAATTCTGATGTCTCCTAAAAAACAATCAAATAAAAGGAAACGGAAACAAATACACAAAATTGTTACTTAGAATGTAGGAAACAAGTGTTTTATAAACCATATCCTGGTTTTCTCAAAATAATTTAAGGATATTTTTTTTCAAACATCCCAGTTTTTTTTTTTTTAAGAATTGAAAAGTTATGATGGTAATAGTCTAGTCTGAAATGATCGTAAGATATAAAGAATCCTGTTCGGTAATTTTATGGAAACGTTATATTCATCTCTTGCCAGTTTGGTAACTTTGATTAATAAGGGAATGCGAATGTTTAATCATTTGTTAGTGTTTTAATTTACACATTATACATCAATAGGTTTTCAGTTTCCAGGTATTGTTACGCACTTGCTTCTATTGTGAGAAATTAATCTCTTGTTTTAAGTTATGGCTCGTTCAAACAGTCCACAGCATTGGACGATAACAAAGAGGAATACAAAAGTAAAGATACGACACTCAAAAACAGTACGAATTACAATTAATAAGATTTATTTAAGGGATAAGTATTAACATAATTAAAAAACGAAAGAAATATAATTACAAAGCATCAACTTACAGAGTATGGGAATGTTTTGTACCGGTACACATTTAGTACAATGTGCGACATAAATAATGTACAGCAATGAATGCGAATAAACACAAAGAATAATACACTCGTCTCGTGAAGTTAAAAATATCTCTCTATCAATCTCCGTTAATCTCTGTCCAAGTCAATCGCTTATATATGTTGTTATCGCCTGTTTCTAAGAAGATTCGGGGGCAGATTATACATTGTTGTTATGACTCGAATATTCTCCAAACTCTGTAATTTACTACAATTAGGTACCCGATTCGATTCAAGAGGAACATGCTATATGTTTAATTGATGTCGGCAGTAAACATGACAGATCAAAAGAAAATAGGCCACGCCCAACACGAAAGCAGTCCAATCTGTGGTCAGCCAGAGTTCACGGCACGGGGAAAGTCCTACATAACAGTATGTTAAACAGAATGTATGTAAAAAATTGTTCAATATAAATCTCCCAATTTAAGATTTTTTAAATACATTCAAAAGTTATTTAATACTTTAAAACATGTTTCTAACTGCTACAATAAAAAAGAATAAATTAAAACACCAACAAATGTTAATCTGTTCATATTAATTCAAGTAGCACAGTAAACACAAATTTATAAATTCGAAAATCATTATATTAAATATTTCACCTACGTACAGCTGCATATTTTGTGTTTTGCAATAATTTTTTATATTATTTTATTAGATAACAAACTTATTTTCATATTCGTTCCACAAACATCAATAGGTATCGATGGTCTGCTTTAACTCAGATATTCAAAAATAAATCAGGTGCTCTTTTCAATATCACTTAACTAAACTAAGTGGTGTACAATATAAAAGTTAACAAATCATTTTTCATTTCTAATGTATTGTAGACGTTGTGGTGTGAAGAAATTATTTATTACTTTTTAAGGTTTAAAATATTATATTTATGTGAAGAATTGTGTATAAGCACAGTGTTAGAATATTTACATACACCTTTAAACATGTTCAAATTTATATTCAAATTATTAAAAGTAATCACAACGTATTCACACGAAGAATAGGATCTCCTTGCTTATCCACAGGCTCTTACCATATGCAACATATGAGTGGCAAAGGGCATTTACAGTAATAAAATAAATATTTATTACATCCTTTCTAAAATCAACATGCATGTGGCTACCCCCTTCCGTCTCCTAATCCTTTGTTTCTTTTAAACCCTTACGTTTTCTACGCAAACCACTTTGTACATCGATAAGTCATAGATTATTTTAACTTCAAGCATAAACATATAAGTAATATAAAGGAGTTAAATATTCTGAATAGTAAAATAATAAAATAACGAAAATCATGAACTTTCCAGCTACACACAATATTTCATAAACAAGTCAAAAACATAATTCGTTTAAAAATGTTGTCAGATTGCAAAGTTGTAGGCTAATAAAGTGTTATTAATAGTTTTAGGGACATTTTTAGTTGTTGGATATTTTGGCAAAAAATTGATAAAATAACTATTTTAAATTTGTTTCACTTCATATAAATACCCATAGCATGATAGAAGTCTCAACAACAAAATAAAATAAAATCGTTGTGATATATCCTCTATAAATAACCGGCTCATTGTATATAATGTTTACATTTCATTCGTTTGTAACGCGTATGGTGGGGTCTCAATAAAACATCCAAAATATTATTTTTGTTGTTTTTAAAATTTAACATCCAAAGCAAACACACACCTTAAGAGTTTGATCATTTAACACGTTACATAAGGCTATAGTCTTTGTGGAAGATAAATAAATTATGCATATATTTTGATTTTCATAATTTATATTAAGTAATAATTGTAACATTAGTAATCATGATAATTGCAATGATTTTACGACTTAATTTTTAAAGTTTATTTATTATCGTTGTTTAAAATATTTTAAAAATTGCAAGCAAGAAACAGTTGAAATTATTTTTTTTTAAAACACCTAACGACTCTATAATTCAGATATCATATCAAAACATTTTCTGAAAGGATTTATACTTAAGTCAATATTATTTAGATGTTGAAACATACTATTTTGTTCACTGTGTTTTTACATAAATATATTTCTTCTCAAATTGACCAATTTTCTCCCCTGTTTCTAACATATCTTTCTCTCTCGTCTCTTGAGAGCGTATTCAAAATTGCGCATTTCTTTTTCTATATCAAATATTTTTATTTGTTTTTCTTGGATATGATGATTTGTCTTTATTTTTCATTTGCCTTCTGTTTGGTCGAAGTAGCGTGATTAGAATATTCGTCTTTAGCAGATATTAATTCTGGCAAAATTTAAATTCCTTCATTTTCTGATCCCTCGTAGCTTTTATCTTGTATAGCTCAGCAAAAAACTTTATACTGTTACTTATTTGCTTTTGTTTCCCCTGCAAGGCCTGATGGATATTTGAAATAGTTCTTAGGGCCTTTCTAGCTTTTTATTTGTTAAAAATTTTGTTTGAACCGACATAAACAATATTTCTATCTCCTGAATTACTTTCAACACACTGACAGCACTCTCACCATCATCAGTTGCTTCTTTCAGTTTACAAATGAATGCTTCAAAATAATTGATGACTTATTGTTTGTACTTATCCTTACGTAAGTCAGCCAAAAGTTCTTGTCGTTTAGCCTCCACTTTTTCAAAATCCTCATTTGTATAAAGCTTTCCTTGTTCAGATATTTCAACAATGATATTCAATAGTTTTCTTATTTGAGCTCTTTTCTTTTCAAAATCATTTGTTCTATTGTTAAAAAGAACTATTCTTTGATTGCATTCCTTTAACAGCTTACAAAAATATTCATTTTCTTGTTTTTCTACCCAGGTTTCAAACGAAAAATTTATTTTTCCTTCATGGAACATCTCAAAACAATCTCCAAAAGTCATTAAAATAATGCAATGATTTTTTATAAACTTATCACCAAGAACTCTTTTCAGAATTTGCACATTTAAATCATATTCCCTAGTGAATCTGTTGCCAAACTTAATAACATAAAGCATGGCGTGATATCCTTTAGGATTATATGTTAGTGCTGTATTAATTGAATCGATAAATTGGTTTACATCGTCCATATCGTTTAATCTTGTGTCTCCAAGACCAGGACAGTCAACTACTTTAAGGAACTTATCTTCAAACCAAGAACAACCACATTCTGCGCTCGTCGTTCCTGAGTCAACACTACAAGACGTTCCAAAATGGTTTGATTGAAGGATCGTATTTCCAGAGGAACTTTTCCCATCACCAGTTCTTCCTACTAGAAGGATGCCCAGAAAGTCAGCTGGGTAATGCTTATCCATTCCAAGGTCCGTACAATCTAAAATAAAAATATAAATGAACAATTATTTCTTAACAGAATAATTCACGCATTTCAACTCTACAGTGTAGAGCTCTAAATTAAGTTTTGTTTTTTTTAATTGGTCTTAAGAATTTAAAGCATTTAAAAAATCAATTTACTCTTCAATTTAAAAATAAATTTAGCTTTAAACATTGTTAAGATAAAAAAAATGGCTTTAAAAAAAAAAAGATGTAAAATGGCTGAATTAATTTATTTTTTTTTTTCGTTTAATAATCAATAACAACAAAATTGTTATTGAAATGACATAATGTATTCATCCCTTGCTAAGTAAAGATATAATGTTAGTTTTTTTTAGTATAACGTACACTAGCTAGCTGGTATACCCAGCTTGCTCGAGTTTTTTTGGTTTTTTTTTAAACTTTCTGATCGTTATCGGCATACACGTAAATTGTGGGTCGTGACAAAAACTCTTAACTCCAGTCCCAGTAATACTTTTGAATTCCCCAATAAAAAGTCAGATTTATTGATAGTAACTCAGGTGAACATTGAATCTGCTCCTATCATCGTTTCAGATAATATTCAAGCTGTGACACAGCCGATAATCCTGATATAAAGACAAATCTCTGGGTTTTTTTTTTAGATGTCTTATTTCGAAATAATATATTCACCAATGTCAAATCTATGAAGGATTAAATCTTAACGTGAAGTAGAATCTCCATTCTAAAAGGAGTCATTTTAGTTATCCCTATGATTGTGGCTACTTTAAAAATCATTCAGATAAATATCTAATTTATTTTTATTTGAAACTATTATATTACAGAATGAAAGAGTTTTTTTTTAAATATGTTTCGTTTACAATGTTTATTATTGGTATCTGTTGCATTTAAATTCAGACGAAAAGTCCAATGATTAAGAGTTTTAACTAAAATAATATTCAATGCGGTTTCCGCAAAAAAACGTGGAACCATCGATATGGTGTTTGCTGCTAGACAGCTTTTTAGAGAAATGCCAGGAAAAAATATATTGAACTATATTCTACATTTATCGACTTGAATAAGGCCTTTGACAGGGTCAATAGAGGTGACCTGAGGAAAGAAAATCATGAAGAAGTACGGTTGCCCAGACAAGTTCACCAACATCTTCCATCAGCTACATGATTGGCATGATGGCCCGAGTGCAGAACAACGGTCAACCATCTCAAGAATTCCCCGTCACAAACGGTGTAAAGCAAGGTGGTATTCCTGCTCCCACATCTTCAGGATTATGTTTTCTGCAATGCTCTCTGATGCGTTCAAGGACTCCACCACGTGGCTTGCCAATCCGGTTTCGCACCGATGGATCAGTATTTAACCTTAGGAGGCTTCAAGCTAAAACTAAGGTCAAACATACCACGATCAACGAGCTTCTGTTTGCAGACGATTGTGCCCTAAACGCTCCCCCAGAATCCGTCATGCAACACAGCGTTGATATCTTCTCTGAGGCCTGCAATAACTTTGGCTTCACAATCAACACAAAAAGACTGAGGTGATGTATCAGCCAACTCCCAGTAAGCCCTACGTTGAACCCAACATCATCATCAGTGGACAGCGTCTCAACCCTTTGGATAACTTTAGTTACTTGGGCAGCACCCTCTCTAGATCTGTCGTCATGGATAATGAAATGAAAAGCAGACTCGCAAAAGCTAGTGCCATATTTGGCAGGCTCCGTAGCACGGTTTGAAACAGGGAGAGGTATCAGATGAGAAACAAAGCTCAAGGTCTATTGCGCCACAGTCCTTCCGACATTCTATGGATGTGAAACGTGGACAGTCTACCAGCGTCACGCTAAAAAACTGAATCATTTTCACACAAACTGCCTCACGAAACTTCTCGGCATCAGGTGGTAAGACAAAGTCCCCGACACCAAGGTCCTCGCCAGAGTGAACCTACCTAGTATCTTCACCACTCTGATGCAGTCTCAGCTCCGTTGGATGGGACACGTAGCCCGTATGGAAGACCACCGGCTCCCAAAACTGATACCTTCGGAGAACTCACGACAGCAGAGCGCTCCCTAGGAGGTCAAAAAAAGCGTTACAAAGACTGACTGAAAGTGGCACTAAAGGCCTTCAGCATAAACCCTAATCAATGGGTGCAGAATCCCAGGACCGAGCCAGGAGGAGAGCTTCTGTCAAGAAGGGGGCTAAATCCCATGAAACTAATAGGATATCCACAGCTGAGACGCGCAGGCTTGCCACGAAAGAGCAACATTAGGTCACCGTTGAAGCAACCATCCCCTGCCCGTGGTGCCAAAGATTTTTCCGAGCACGGATCGGTCCAGCAAGCCACCTACGAGCTCACCGTAACCCAACCTCCTCTAACCTTTGGATGACCCGATGGTCCTAGTCGAAATCTACGGACGAACAACAACAGTTTTATTTTGGTAAAGGCAAAATATTTAATCTAGTTTAAGTGATAAGAAATGTTAATGAAAATAAAGCTTTTCTAGTGTATAAAATGTATGATTGATGAAACACTTTAGGTATTATCGAGATACCGATGGGAAAGAGATCCAAACGAGATTGGAAAACCATCGGGATCCAACCAGGATCGGAATTCAAACGTGATCGGAATCAAACCGGGATCAGGAATGTAACGGGAACGAGATACCACCAGGAAATGGGATCACATAGGGATTGAGAGCCCACTAGTATCTGGACCCTATCAAGAAGCTGAATCTTGACGTAATCGGAAACCGACATCAATCTGGATCACACCATTATCTGGATTGAAACGAGGTTAGGATTCCTCGGGGAAACTTAATTCCATTTTGAAATGGGATCCCATTCGGTCCCTTTGGGGATCGGGATCCCAAAGGCTGAATAAGATGTTTTTTTTTCCGAATGCAATACTGGGTATATAGGATAGTATATATATTTATATAGCCTATAAATATACATATAATATATATATAATATATAGTATATATATATAGAGAGAGAGGGAGATGTGTAAATAAGACTCCGACAAAGATTTTGTAATGGTTAAATTAGGAAACAATATTCTTAGCCGTTCTTTAAACATTGAGCTCCAACTAAATCGTAACTATGGGTCAAGTTACATAAGATTGATGCTAAAGTCGTAGTAAGAAATAAATACTGTTAATTTACACAAATTACATGAAGCGGAGTTAACATCTACGTTATACATATTGATTCGATTATTATATTACATTTAAAGATTTAATAAACTAACAAATGATTACATTCTTTTTATGTGGACCTTATGTTATTAGAAAAGAACAGATTTTCCCTGAATTACTTCCCTTTCACATATAAACTTTGAGGTTCTGTGAAGGTCTTATAGCACAATAATAAATGTTGTTTTACCCCTTAAAATTTTATCATAATTTTTGTTGATAAAATTTATATATTGTAAGAATGACTATCAAGTATTTAATGGCTGTGTTGATTTTGATACGCTCTGTCCTGCAAAGTAACATTACCTCTCTGTATTTTTAATTTACATAGTCCAGTAGATTAGGGCTATACTAAAAGAATAGCTTTGTTCAAGTGTAATAATATGAAGGTGGACAACATCAACATACATTTTAGTGATATGGTAACAAAAAATTGCATGATGCTTTCCTGTACCCTCTAACTGTAGTTTGGGTACCATAGTATAGTATATCATATTAAAGACAAAGCCGTATTATTAAGTATACTATGTAACAATTGAAGAAAGTCAAGGTTACCAAATTTCTCCATTATGAAGATTCCTGTGGACTTGTATTTGTATATTCATATATGAAATCTGGTCGTGTTTTGTTTGTTTTCAAGTGCCACACGTGCTTTACTCAAATATTGAAAGTAAAATGTATATTTATAAAGATACTTGAAGTGCCGCTGGTACCTTTTCAGAGTCTGGAGGATAAACACTATAAGTAAGTCAGGGAAAACCCAATATTATTTACTAAGTGTTCACATATCCGGCAATCAGACGAATAATTCTCGAGCTATTCGTCCGGTGACCAGGTCGCCCCTGTTCTATTTTTCAAGTTTAACCCTACTTTGTTTTACTAATTTTATATTGTGCTAACCTGATTGCAGTCTCTCCCCTTATTGCAATCACGTTAGCACAATATGAAATGAGTAAAACAAATAAGGTTAAACCTTAAAAATTAGCGCAACAAAACAACGAACGTGTCGGCAGGAAGCCTTCGTCAGAGAACAAAACAACAGCACATACAGAATAAAATTAAAATTTAAAAAATAGCATTTAGCTTAGAAGTAGTATCCGAGAATTTTACTAATTTCATACTGTTAGAGTGGCCTAATTCTCACGCAATATTAATAGTCTAACTAAAATAAAACTTTTTTGACAGTAGGTCTATTGAAAATCAACTGGCAAGTATTGATCTTATTTTAGTAGGCCTACTTGTATAGTATAGTCTATATTATGTATGCCTTATTATAAATTATAAATCTAATATGATAATGTATTTTATTTTGTTTTACCATTGAGGATGTAGGCTCAATAAAGTAATGCCCATCATTCCCTTTAAGAACTGATGGGCATTACAGCAATCATGATTGAACAAATTATCATAGCTATACTATGCTGATGATATATATATATATCAAGTGTTCAAGGGAAAAATGATTAAAATGTCAATTATCTGATAAGACCAGCTTTATCACCTGTCTAGGTGTCCACTTCTGCAACTTCTCAATTTATGTTTCAAAATATGAAACTGTCACTCTTAAAAGATTTTGTAGAAGCTTGACTGTGTTGACTCAAACTATCCATTTTAATCATAAAGAAGAGAACATTAACTCCATACAAGAAAATATTTTTTTTTACTTGTGTGGTAGCTGTACGTCTGTTCTAAAATGCCCAGATAACACATTGAAAAGGTTGACTTTTCAAGTCTAAGTAAATTGAAAAATTGCAATTGCTATGGAATTTAATAAATATTTACATGTATTAACCGTAATAGCTTAATTTTTGCTAATTTATGGTGTATTTCAATGTTGTTTTTGCTTTGAAAAGTTCATTCTTTTTTTTTCATTTTAATTTTAAAAAACGCTGCATCGCGATAATCAGGAATTTTGAGTTTCATTAAGTTGCAGGGTTTGAAAAATGTGTAAATGAAGTTTCAGGTTTTAAGAAATTTTTGGAAAGGGATTTCAGGGTTCACAGCTTTCAGTGAGTGCCACCCCTGTTTATCATAGACCTACATTAAAAAAAAAATGGTGAATAGGAAAAACAAATGGGGCATAACAAATATTTGTACCACAATGTTAATGAAAACTGGGAAACATTTGACAATAATTCAATAATTCATTCAATTCAGATTAGTGTGATTTTATATATGTTTTCATAATAAAGAATTCCTTCGAAGAACGTTTCGTTTACCCCGTCAAACCAGTTCACTAAGTGGTTATATCTAACCTTTTATAGCCGTCAGCAGCTTCAAATCTGTAAATGTTAGAAGACTAACTTCTGCTTTGAACGTTCGAACTAACGTACTTTCACGACATCAGTCACCTCTTCATATAAATATAAGATTATTACAGGTTATTTAAAAAAAACAATAATAAATTATTGTGTTAATTCAATAACTTAATCTTTAGGGTAACTTATGTTATATACTAGATAAGAGGAGTTGTAAACAATACGGATTGATCCCATTTAGCTCATGGACTTGGCTTTTATTGTTGACATTACACGGGAGCTTAATGTACTTCGCAGGAAGTTATAAGATCAAGGGGAGCATGTCAGTGTCGCCAATGAAAATGTCAGGGCATTCTGCACTAAACTTATATTATGATTCTCAGAGAATGCTCTGCCATTTCCCAACATGCAAAGCACTCTTAGACTCTGGCCCACCATTCAGCAGTATGTATGCTGATGCCATTGCAAACCTACATATGAAGAGTTTAATCACATGTTTGCAGACTTAAAATTACATAGAACCACTTTTCACATTTTTTTTACCCCTTTTCCTTCAATGTTTTTTTTTTGTGTGCTTCAATGGAGCTGAGCGATCTTCAGTGCAATTCTAAAGTCAAGGCTAAGTTCAGGAAGGTGAATTTAAAAGCGAACAATCATGGACAATTTATGAGAATATTTCCCTCCACCTTCCCTGACATTTCCAGGTTGTTCAAGCGAATCGGGTGCCTTTTTGGGAGTTCCTTTATGTAAGAAAAGTTTTTTCCCTCTATGAACGTTAACAAGTCAATGTTTAGGGTCAAACATATTGATGTGCATCTTCAAACTTTACTGAGTGTCTCCGTTGCTTCCTCATTCAAGCTAAACGATACTAAACTGAGTAAGAAGAAGCGCTTCCATGTCTCTGGCAAGAATGAATAGGAGGAAGAAAGTTGAGCCTTAAATTTTTTTATTTGTTATTAATAAATGTTGAGCACATTTTGATGGTTGTACCTTTTTCAATGTGAAATAGTTTGTTTTTTTTATTGTGGAATACTTGATGCGCCCCAGTCTCACCGAGATTCTACCTGCTGCGGCCCCCGGATGATTTTAGCTAGAGAAGCCTGGTCTACTGCGTCGTTAAAATACGGACTCTCAATATACATATCATAAAAGCTTGGCCTACTTGAGATATACAGATGCCTACTTGTTAATATTTTATGTCTGATTTTAACACCCACTCCCCCCCCAAATTATTACTTAACATTTTCAAAAATCCCCCCAAAATTTTTTTTTAAAATTTTAAAAAAAAAAAAAAAAAAAAAAAAAGATTATTATTTAAATGTAAAGAAATTTTTTGCAAATTTTAAATTTTAAAATAATGATTATTGTATAAAACATGCTTTTATGAACCATTTGATTTTTTCATTTTTATATTTGTCAAATAAAACTATATCAATAATCTTCCTTTTCTATGTTTCATATTATATTCGTAATTGCCTTTAGTGAAGACGTTAAGAGAAAACATCACACACCCACTCACTCTTCTTGTGAGCAATAAACCAGAGTGGACTGTTCTCTCATTACAATATTACAATTTAAATATTTTAATTCATTATAATACTCTGAAACATAAGTGAACACTTTTCAGAACAAATTTTTATGGAGCTTAACATATTCCGTTAAATTTGTAATTAAACATTAAATATATGAGTTACCAATTTTTTAATATATTTGTTTTCCAATTTCAGGTAATAAGCTCTTAATTTCTACACCGGGGTTTAGTTCTGTGCTTTTACTGACATGGTTTTTTTTGGAAATTGAAAAATATACTCGCAAGCTCAAGTCTGACACGACTCTGCAATCAAAGAATACTGACTTTTTACGTGTCTTCATTGTTGGTGGCCAGAAAAAGGGAAAGACTTCTACGCTAAAATATTTGGCTGGCCACGGACGTCAAATCACAATGACAATCCATGTGTGTCCTAATTTGAAGTATGTTCGTAATGCTGATGTCTATGGATGGAAAATAATTGTTGGCAAATTTGAAAATTTATTTGAATTCACTAGTAAAGGTTCCGATAATATTCACAAATTTTGTGATATCTTAAGATCTGTTTCTAAGGCTTTGGACAGTTTTCATGTTGTAGTTTTCTGTCTTTCTTTTAAAAATTATCTAAGCCATGAGTGTAAAGAATACATTAATGCACTTAGATCTGTGTTGGGTTCATCATTTATTGAGAAATACGTTATTTTCGCAATGACACATGGGGAAGTTTTTGAGGAAACCAAACATGACATGGCCCTTACCAACTTTAGTGATTGGATGCATGGATTGGACCCATGTATGTTAAAAGATGCGCTGAAGGAGTGTTTTACTGCATAATAAGACAGAAAAGGTGAAAACGAAAAAAGAAGATGCTCTTAAGATTTTTTCCCTGTGTACTGATATTGTCTGAGATAATGCAACCCTTAGCATCGAAGAGGAGGCAGATGGTAAGTTTTTGAAACCTTTAGACAAACCTTGAAGTACTATTAACAGAAATTAAATTTAAATTTTTGAATGTGCTGCGTTTTGATAGTGTGTGTAAAAAATTGATTCGCATGGGTTTCTCAAAATAACAAAATGATGTAGAAAATATATGAATGTGTAATTGATAAAAAATTTGTAGAAATTCCATGTTAGGGATAGTCTGGTGACTCTTTCTCTCTAGTATAAATTTTATATTTTTGTTTAACATAAGTTTCTTAAATTTTTACATTTTCATTTTCACTTGTTTCTGCCCATTTTAGACCTTTAATACATAAAGTTTAAATAGAAAAAGCCATTTTGTCATAGCTCGAAAAAAAAACTACTATTGCTTAAAACTATTAATTCAGGTGCAAATGTATTACTGTAAAGATTTAAATTATTACAATTCATGCAAAATTTGCATAATAAAATCCTATCTGTTTTTCGATCATTAAAACCTTACCATTCCATATCCAATTTATGAAAAATTATATTAATAAATGTAACATGAGCTGTAAAAAAATATTAATATATGAATACAAAAATGTATTCTGCCGAATTTTACATTAATTCATTTCTATTTATTTTCAGATCTAATTTTTTCTTAAAATAATATTTAGTATAGTACTGAATGTATATATGAGTATCATACTGAACACAACAATAAAATTTTAGGTCAAAATTGGAACTTTAAAATCATTATGCTATACACTACGAACTAAGTGGCAACAAAATATTACACTTTTTAAAATTGCGGATGCCACTTCTAAATCTGTCTCTATTCGCGTTAAATCTAGACAAACATATAATGGGTATTATACATGGGCGCCCGCAGGGGAGGCAAGGGGGGCACTTGCCCCCCCCCCCCCCGAATTGATTGGATAAACAATTTTTAGACAAAAATAGGCAAAAAATTTATTAAAGTAAAGAGAAAATAAAGAGAAAGTAACTAAGCTGATGTCCTGTCCGTTCGNCCCCTAGAAAGTTAATCGATTTTTTTGCCCCCCC